ATTGATATTTACTATATTAGAAACTAAAACAGAAAATTTAAAATATTAATCCATTAAGAAATAGCAACCATAAACCTATTACATGTTAACATAATTCAGTTTTCATGAAAAATTGACTATATTTTCCAAAACAAAAATGTAATGAGAAGGATGCACTGTTTTACATTTTTGCAAGTCTCTTTAACAGAATATAGCTGGATTCTCATATTTGTGTCTGCATTCAGTCTGTTGCAAAATGTTGCTGTAAATCCAGCCTCACAAATATGTTGTTAAAAAAGGGAGGAATATTTCAAAACCCTTTTCCAACAGCTGTGGATTTTTTTTTTTTTTTTTTTTTTTTTTTTTTTTGCGATATGTGGGCCTCTCACTGTCGTGGCCTTTCCCGTTGCCGGACGCGCAAGCTCAGCGGCCACGGCTCACGGGCCCAGCCGCTACACGGCATGTGGGATCCTCCCAGACCGGGGCACGAACCCGTATCCCCTGCATCGGCAGGCGGACTCTCAACCACTGCGCCACCAGGGAGGCCCAGCTGTGGATATTTTTGATACTACACCAAACCTTGATACACAGTAGTTTCTAAAAGATTAGTCACAATGTGGAATCCAAAACCTTATCAGTGAACTTTTTGCAACCTGTTACATTTGAATCCATTGCTTTTTTTTTTTTTTTTGCATTTGAAATGGATTATTTGGAGAATATTGGTTCACTGCATAATGCAGATCTTCCTAATGTTGGCACATTACAATATACAATTTTGATATTTAATAGAAATTTATTAATATCATCCATCTAAAAGATTTTGAGAATGTCAAGTTCACTGTGGCACACATAAGTTTTCCAAAATTCAAAATTTCACTTGAGAACTCAAATTTCATCACAGACAACAAAAACTGTAGTTGTTTTTCCTGAAGTGAGGCTCACTTCATTTATTTTTGAGACAGTGTTTGCCAAACATCCAAGTCTGAGTAACCATAGCTTGTTCAACTAAAGATGTTATTCTGTGAAAAAGTGGCTAGTTCATCTCACGACTCAAAAAGCTGCACAAGTGCCCTTCCCCAGGTCAATCACTGTACTCCAGGATGCGGCCAAGTGCTCTATGGGTTTTTCCCACTTTACCTCAGACATATGAAGTATGTAAACTCAAGGGTTGAGATTTAATACAATTAATTTGTTTTAACGCTTCATCACGGACAGTTTTTGTTTTTTTTCAAGCCAGGAGTGTATGGGGGTGACGGACACAATGACTGCCAGCACAGTGTGGTGCCATCGCCTTGGATTCATGCTAAGGCACCAACACTTTTACCCCCACTGCTTTGGCATCAGTGCCAGTGTCAACGCAGTGGAAGAGGTGAATAACATCATGGCACAGTATTATTATGAAAATAGTTTTGACCTCACAAACCCCCTGAAAGGGTCTTGGGGACCCTTAGGGGTTCACAGACCACATTGTCAGAACCATCACTGTAGAGTAAGTTACCTACCTTCTCTGGCTTTCAGTTTCCTTATTTATAAAACAGAACTAATAATGCTACAGCTACCTCAAAGGGTTGTTGTGAAAGCTAAATGATTTAAAACATGCAAAGCACTTAGAATAGTCCCTGGCACATTGTGTTATACAAGCATTTGCTAACATTATAATCATATATGCAATGCCATTAAATGTTCTTCCAAAATAAATTTATTGATAGTGTATTATTCCATAATAATGTAACGTAATTGTTGGATATTACGTTTTCATTTTTTCATCACCCTTGTACATGTCTTTGGCACATCACTGATTATTTAGAGTAAGTTCCTGAAGTGGAATTGCCCAGAGTACACACATTTTTCACAGTACTGTTGAAAAGCATACATGGAGTATTAATGTGGGAGATCTGAAAAGAGAGAGGTCCATGGGCCAAATGAGTATTTGACTCCAGCAGGAGCATTTCTTAAGGTGGTGCCGTTGAGTACAAAAGATTATGAACTGTGATGATCATCTCTGAATTGGAAGAGGCCAAGGTGTTGGCTGAGTCATCCTCATGAACACTGAAGTCACCCAGTTGGTATGCAGAGGACCAGACACTGGGACACAGGTCCCATCATGACTTGATGGGTAGACTTCGCCAGAACATGATTTTGCTGGGGAGCTACACGCAAGCCCAGGAAAGCCAAAGTGACCAATACCTTTATAACCAACACCTATAAAAGATTCCCAAGCCCTAGATGATGAGACATTTCTTTCAAGTAATATTTGATTCAAAACAAAACCAGTCTCCCCCTAAAATTTTGACACAAGCATTTACAAATTCATTATTCAGAAATGGAACTCATCCAATATGAATATAACGTAAGCACAAAGTAGGTTTTCTAGCTTCATTTGGTGGAAGCTTGTTTACATGCAGGCTTTAAGGTCTGACTTCAGGATACTGGAAATGAAATTCATGGAATCTTGGCCCAGGCAGAAGTAGTAGTATAGTGAGGGCTTCCCTGGTGGCGCAGTGGTTGAGAATCCACCTGCCAATGCAGGGGACACGGGTTTGAGTCCTGGTCTGGGAAGATCCCACATGCCGCGGAGCAACTAAGCCCATGCGCCACAACTACTGAGCCTGTGCTCTAGAGACCGCGAGCCACAACTACTGAGCCCGTGTGCCTAGAGCCCGGGTTCCGCAACAAGAGAAGCCACCGCAATGAGAAGCCCGCGCACCACAACGAAGAGTAGCCCCCACTCGCTGCAACTAGAGAAAGCCTGCGTGCAGCAATGAAGACCCAAAACAGCCAAAAAAAAAAGAAAAGTAGTACAGTGAAAGGAGGGTTTTTTTTCAATAAACAATGCCGTAACAAATGGTTTTCCATATTAAAAAATTGAAATCGGATCCCTTTCTCAGTGTACACAGAAATCAATTCTACATGGAAAAAAGAATTTCTATATGAAAGGCAAAACCATAGAACTTTCAAAAGAAAACAGAATTATTTTTCTGACCTAGGGAAGAGTGTGCTAGATGCAGAAACACTAACCTTGAAAGAAAAGATTGAGAAATTTGACATTAAATTTAAGAATTTTGGTCACTAAATGATACCTTTAAAAAAGGTAAAAAGAGGGCTTCCCTGGTGGCACAGTGATTAAGAATCCACCTGCCAATGCAGGGGACTCGGGTTCAAGCCCTGGTCCAGGAAGATCCCACATGCCGTGGAGCAACTAAGCCCGTGCGCTACAACTACTGAGCCTGCGCGCCTAGAGCCCGTGCTCTGCAACGAGAAGCCACTGCAATGAGAAGCCCGCCCACCGCAATGAAGAGTAGCCCCCACTCGCCGCAACTAGAGAAAGCCCACGTGCAGCAACGAAGACCCGACACAGCCAAATATAAAATAAATTAAAAAAAAAAAAGAGAGACCATGAGTTATCATTTTATCCTCACCAGTTTGTAAGAAATTAAGAACTTTTAATGATCCCTAGGGCTGAAAAGGATGTGGTCAATAGGAATTCTTATACTGCAGGAAGGAGTGCAAATTCATACAACCACTTTGAAAGACAATTCAGCATTATCCTGTAAAGTATCCTAAAGAAACTCTTGTACATGTGCATCCAGAGAGGTGTATGAAAAATTCCATTGTGATCCTGTTGGTAATAGAAAAATAACTGGAAGCAATGCCAGATCCATCCACAGGAAAATGGAGAGATTGTAGAATATTCACATAATATATATACAACCATGAAATATGAACAAGCAGCAGCTATGTGCAGCAACTCTGATGAACCTCAGAAACAAAACATTTGTTAAAAAAGTGAGTCCTGGAAGTCTCACAGTACAAAACTATTTTTAAATTTTTTTTGGCCATGCAACTCAGCTTGTGGGATCTCAGTTCCCTGATGAGGGATTGAGCCCGGGCCCCAGCTGTGAAAGCGCCAAGTCCTAACCACTGGACCACCAGAGAATTCCCTAAAACTATTTTTTATAAAGCTCAAACACATACAAAACTAAACATTCTCGTCAGAAATCTTTATGTATATGAGAAAACTGTGAAGGGGAAAAATAATAAATGTGAAATTCAAGATAACAGTTATGTCTGAGGAGGCTGTAAAGAGGTGGGTTCAAGAAGGCATAGGTGAGGGAAGAGATATGGGAACATATGTATATGTATAACTGGTTCACTCTGTTATAAAGCAGAAACTAACAACTATTGTAAAGCAATTATACTCCAATAAAGATGTTAAAAAAAAAAGGCATAGGTATGTGACAAGGTGTTAGGAATATTCCAGCTCTTACATTGAGTGGTTTCAGATGTCAGTTTTCTTACATGTCACAATTTATATATAGGTTAAGTATTTTATGTGTAAAATATTATTTACCTCTTCAAATATAATAAACAAAGGGGGAGATTATGTGAATTGTGCATTCTAGCCCATGCCCCACAAAAAACCTCCTCTAAACTTGGTGCTCCAAGGAGACACATCATGTTTCTCCTTCACAGACCCCACCCTTGTGAAAGTCAGGCCTCAAAAGATCCCTGACCTTTGGTGTTCTGACTGTTGCCGACTTTTCCACCTACATCTCCTGTCACTCGCCCAACCGGTCTTTGAGTGACAAAGTGCCTCTGTGCCATCAGCACACGCTGTTCCTGCGGACTGGAAGCATCCCCCATCTCTTGCTCGCTGGCTGATGAGGGCTCAAACATTGCCTCCAGGAGCCTTCCCAGAGGCTGCAAGGGTTTGGCGCTCTCTCCTCATCATTTCCACAGTGCCTGTTCAGGCCTCTCTTTGACACTTATTAGACGCAGGTAACTGCTCATTTACAGGCTGGCCCTTCCGGTTTATACACATGGGAAGGAGCTGGAGAGATAACAGGTGATACAGCAAAAACGGCCAGAGGCCAGTACTGTTTTCTGTTCCCCTCTGTGGCCCCAGTGCCTAGCACAGGTGGCTCTCAGCAAAGTTTTTCCTAAGGAAGGATTGTCAGGGGTGGAGATGGGCGGAAGGGGAACAGTCACACTCAAAGCTACCGCTATTTGAAGCAAAAAAGAAAAAGAGTTGCCAAGCTTTATTTAGGTTGCAGTGGTCACAGACAACGCATCTAACTCTATATCCCACCCCACCCTACTCGGCCCCCTGCACAGGCTCAGCTCCCTTTTCCCTCCAGTCTCACTTCTTGTCCTCCTCCTTCTTGTCCTTCTTGCCATCCTTGGTGGCCTGGGAAGCCAGGGAGCCCATGGCATTTCGAATGGCCTCATTGTTGGGATCCACACCTGGAAGGTTCTCCAGGACACTCTGAAGGAACTCGGGGTCCTGCATCACATCATAATCATCCTCCTCCTGAAAAAGGGCTGTGTCAGCTCGGGGCAGTGGCGGTAGGCTGGCCGGGGAGCAAGCAAGTGTAGGAGATGGGAGCGCACCTGACTGGGGGTGGAGGGCACCTCTGGCCAAGGACAGGAAGGAGGATTTGGGAAGATACCCAGCGCCTATACACAGTATGAACTCAAACATTTATTTTCGTTTAGTTTTTCGGCCCCACTGGCGCAGCTTGCGAGATCTTAGTTCCCCGACCAGGGATCAAACCCAGGCCCCCGGCAGTGAAACTGCCAAGTCCTAACCACTGGACCACCAGAGAATTCCCCCAAACATTTATTACTGACCAATTAGAGGAGAATCCTGAGAACTCTGCTTTCTGAGCTCAAAGGATAAAAACAGATGCCACCACCTTTAGGTTTCCTGCTGTCAGACACCCACTCCCCCCCACTTTTTTTTCCTGAACCCTTTCTTCACCCTCCTGGGAAGATGACAGCACTGAGAATTGTCCAGACTGCTCCCACCAGCAAGGAAGGAAAATTACAAACTACGAGGACACCTCTCCAACTCTGGCCACTAGCATTCTTGCCTTAGCAAGGTTGACATACAAGGAATGTACATCCATGTGTTTCTTTCCTTCTGCTCCTGCAAGAGCTCATCTATGAAACCCCAAGAGAGGAATAGTCCCAGGCCTAGTGGGCTGAGGATCTGAACACAAGGGGATTTTAAGCCTGATGGGGCAGGAAGTTATTGCTGGCCCTTACCTTGGCGGGCTCAGATGTGTCCATGGCTGAACTGGCATCAATGTCACCTGATTCTGCCTGGCCAAATTCTGAGGAAAAGAGGTCAGTCCGTTCAGTTTCGTGTCCTCACCCAATGTCTCCACCTCAGCACAACCACCCAGGTTCTGGCTCACCTGCGCCCTGGAGGGACATCTGCATGGCATATGCAATCTGCTCTTCCTCGGTCATACTACTTAGGTCGGGGAGCCCCGTGCGGCCAAACTCTTGCTGGCTGATGGTCATCTTCAGCAGGGCATCGTCCGAGTCTGGGAAAAGGGAGAGAGCGGTGGGGTGGAACCATGCCATATTCCACAAAGGCCCATCCCCAAGCTCACGCGTTCCCACACTGCCAGACCCCCCACCCCCATCTACACCAGGCCTCCACTGAGCACCCCGCAGTCCCGGGACTTCAGATTCCACCTCTTTCACCTTCAGTCCCAGTCGTAGCAATTCCGGCCTCAGCGGCAGAGGCGGCAGCTGCCCGCCGCGCCTCCTCCTCCTGCCGCTGCCGCTGCTCTTCCATAGAAACACGAAGGGCCTGGCCAAGGGCAGGGGAAGTCAGACATTCTCCGGCCCCGGGCACCAGGGAAGGCAGCTGGGGAAGGCAGCTGAGGGGTGGGAACAGACCGTAAAGGGGGAGCTTCTGGTTTATACACATGGGGAAGGGGCTGGAGAGATAACAGGTGATATAGCAAAAAAGGACGAACTTGGGAGAAGTCTGGGGTTTAACGGGGAGAAGAGAACAAGAGAGAGTCTGACACTGGTGCCCCTAGAGATCAGACAGAACTGTGGGGAAGAGGGACCAAGAGGGGATCTGGGAAAACAAGCAAGGGTATTAGGACTGTATAGCCCTAGAGAAGCTATGTGCCGTGTGGGCCAGTAGAGGAGGACAAAGAAGGTCCCCTGAGGTCAATGTTTGCTCACCAAGGCCAGCTCAGGATCAGCACTGGGATCCACTCCAAATTCAAAGTCACTGGCACCAAGACCCAGCATGGCACCGCCTTCCCCAGCCAGAATTGGAGAACTGATGAGGGCATCAGCCAAGCTGGGCCCAGGAGGCACTGTCACCAGATGAGAACCGGTTCCATCTTTGCCATTCAGTGTGTTTACAAAGGCGGTCAGCTTTTCTGTGTTCACCTCCTGGGGAGGGAAGAACATAGGAGGCTCTCCTTCTTGCCCTGCCCCCCATTCTCTGCCATGTCAGCTCCTGTCTGTAGCTACTCTCCCACATGCAGACACTCCTCTGGGTAAGGACTGTTCTCTGTTTACAACCACAGCAGTCAATGCCCCCCGAATGGTCCTTACTCACCTCTTCCCCAAAATTGATAATGTCAACATTTACTTTCTCCTTCTTGAGGCGTTTGGCCAGTTTCACCAGCTGGGAAGAAGGGGAGAGAAATAAGGAAATCTATTCCATACCATGATGGGAGATGACACACCTCACAAAAGCATACAGGAATTGGTAGACCTCTCCAAGGTCCCCCAACAGAAACACTGAATTCTGCACATCCTCCTTTCCCCAAAGTGATGAACCCAATGCCTCTCTGGCTCTCCTAAGGGCCAACAGACCCCATTCCCAAACATGTGGTGCCCAAATTCCCCAGCTATCACTAGGACTCACATCCTTCTCATTGTCCTCCACGGGGCTTCCCACAAAGGCAATGATTCGCATCTTGTGATTCTTGCCCTGTCGGTGCTTCAGGGCCAGCTTGAAAAGGAAGAGGAAGTTCCTGGAGTCAGCCAGAGGAATCACCCAGCTCTTTCCTGTTACTCTGTTCTTTTTCTATGGCTTCTGTGTACCTCGAGCCTGCCATCATGCTCACACCAGTCTAAACCCCCTCCTACACCCTTCCCTTCTTGCTGTGCCTCTCCGTGGATAAGGAAGAGGGGTTAATTCTCAATTCTAGGGATGTTTCCCTTCATGATCTTCACCGATCCTGGGATTCATCCCATCATATCCTTTCTACTCCTTTCTCTAGGTCACCTCTCCTCCCTTGCACTGGTTCTAGCTCAAGAGTCCAGGGGGAAAATGAATAAGGGTGGAGGCAGAAGCCCAGAGCAAGGAGGAACCACCAAAGGGATCCAACAGGACTCACATGGGCCACGCGGATGCCAGTGCAGAAGGTGATCTTGCCTTTGGGTTGGACAGTGTGGAGCTTAGACAGGATGCGGCCGGTGTCAGGGGTGAGTGTGGTCAGCACTTCACAGTCACTGGGATGTGGGGAAAGCACCTTCTGTGATTTCAGGTCAGGACAAGTGCCTCCAAACTGTGTTTGACTAATCTTTTCTTTAGGGACCTTGATAATAACTGTAATCTCTATTTTTCTTAATCAAATATCTAGTGTTTAGAGAGTGGATCTTATAAGTTCTCATCACAAGGAAAAAAATTTGTTAACTATGTGAGACATGGGTATTAATTAAACTTACTGTTGGTGATCATTTTGCAATATACACATTTATCAAATCATTAGCTTGTACACCTTAAACTTCATGTCAATTATATCTCAATAAAACCAGAGAAAAACACCTAGTGTTTAGACATGAAATACAGAAAATAAGAAGTGGTTGATTTTGTGAGAAGCTTGCCCTCCTCCTCCCAATATTTCCCCCAACCTTTCTCATGTCATCTTGCTCTCGGAGCCCTGGGAATCCTCTACAATATCTGGATGCGCCTTCTTATCTCTCCCACCCTCTCCATTTCTAGACCCATTTTCTAGCTAATAACATGTATATCAGGATGGGTGGTCACTCATTTGAGGATTATCAGTTCCTAAAACAAATCACTTTTGGGGTAATAGGCTGTGTGATATACGCCCTGGGGCTCTGACCCAAAACCACTTTTTACTGCCTTTAAAATACACTGTGGGAACTTCCTTGGCAGTCCAGTGGTTAAGACCACACTTCCACTAGAAGGGGCAGGGGCTTGATCCCCGGTCAGGGAACTAAGATCCCACATGCCGCACAGTGCATCCAGAAAAAAGAAAAAATACACTGTGAAATTTTACCCCGGGAGATTTAGCTTCATAACTGTATTAAATTCAGGTTAATATTAAAAACAAGTTGCTGTTTATATTTATACTGAACAGTGAAGAAGGTAGTCTAGGAAGTGCTCATGGAAGCCTCATGGAATCTACAAAAGGGTAGCAACCTGGGCACCACAGTGGGTCACATACAGAAAACACCCCCGTCTCCCCCAAACCCCTCCTGCTCTGCCCCACGTACTTGGCCAGTGTGATGAGGCCCACGTTGTTCTCAGGGTTGCTACGGGTCTTGGAGTGACAGACTATGTTGACGGCATCCTGCTGGGCCTGTAGCCGGGTGGGTAGGAAGTCCCCGTTCCGCATATACTCGCTGTTGTCCACGCTGTCAGATTAGGGTGAAGGAGGAGAGAGAAGACACACTGCAGGATCTGAGACATCCTCTCCAGTTCCAGGGACCCCCACCTCCTTCAACAACTCTCCCGTGAGGGGCACTGTGGTGTATGGCAGCGGCTCTCAGTCTTTGCGGAACAGAGAATCACCTGCAACCTTTTTTCTTTTTCTTTTCTCTTTATGCAGATGACCAAGCCTTCTTCTAGACTTACTGCCTCAAAATAACCAAAGGAGGAAAAACTTTTTAAGTCTCCACAAGTGATAATGTAAGTACCCAAGGCTGCGAGCTACTAATGTACCACACCCACCTTCTTATAAGGTGCATTAAGCGTTATTAATCATGGTTATGGAGGAACATGTTGTCTGCTACTAAAATAGGAGTATTCCAAAGGTAGGCAATGAAAAGGGCAACTTAAAAATATTTGTAAAATACTTGTAAAATAATACACACTTGGCAGCACTGAGTGCAGGAAGGCACAATGTAATTATCTGGTTAAATGTTTAACAGCTTTGGCAGCTGGACTGAACTGCAAAAATGAGGTTTCAACGTTTCCCTGGTGGCGCAGTGGTTGAGAGTCCACCTGCCGATGCAGGGGACACGGGTTCATGTCCCGGTCCGGGAAGATCCCACATGCCGCAGAGCGGCTGGGCCCGTGAGCCATGGCCGCTGAGCCTGTGTGTCCGGAGCCTGTGCTTCACGACGGGAGAGGCCACAACAGTAAGAGGCCCGCGTACCGCAAAAAAAAAAAAAAAAAAAAATGAGGTGTCATAGATTTGGGGTTCTCGCCTATACTCTCCCTGCAATTTTTCACAATCGCGAAGAATCCAAATAATGTGAAATACAAGGGCCAGCTTCCTGGAGACCAAAAGAAGGCAGGTAAGTGAAGCAGTTATATACCCCAGCAGAGAATCAATTCTTGATGAATTGAGGTCGCTTAGAACTCTAAAAGGAAGCAGTGTCCTCGATGTGACACCTCATTTCTATTGGCAAGCAAAATATGGGCTTGGGGGCAATTTTTTCCCTTTAGTATCCTTTGCCTGGGAATAAATACAAATCAAAAGTGACGAAGAGGGCTTCCCTGGTGGCGGTGGTTGAGGGTCCGCCTGCTGATGCAGGGTACACGGGTTCGTGCCTTGGTCTGGGAGGATCCCACATGCCGCAGAGCGGCTGGGCCCGTGAGCCATGGCCGCTGGGCCTGCGCGTCTGGAGCCTGTGCTCCGCAGCGGGAGAGGCCACAGCAGTGAGAGGCCCGCGTACCGCAAAAAAAAATAAAAAAAATAAAAGTGACAAAGAGAGGTAATTAAGAAGCTACTGGAAGACAAGTAGAAAGGGAGGGAAGGGCAGTGTTCAGGCACAGGCTCAAATCTCCACTCTGCTACTTACTAGTTCTGTGATCCTGAGGAAGCTACTTAATTTCTCTAAGATCCAGTTACCTCATCTGTAAAATGGGTTTTATTATACCTACACTCACAGGGCTGCTATGAGGATTAAATGCATGGAAAGCACTTAGCACAGTGCCTAACAGTAAGCATGAAACACAGATTAGTTCTTATAGTGGAAATTCAATCTATATAAAGGAGGTCAAGGGCAGACTCTACTGACCATGCATTATTCTTTTTTCCCTGATACACCGTTTCCAATTACTTTCCCAGCAGGGAAGTAACTGCCTTTCTAGCTTCAAATACAGCAGGTGAGTCCAAATATAAAAACAATGGAAGCTTTGAGGATCATCCAGATGGAATAGCTAAGTATAAAGACTGTAGGGGGCTTCCCTGGTGGTGCAGTGGTTAAGAATCTGCCTAATGCAGGGAGCAGGTGAGTCCAAATATAAAAACAATGGAAGCTTTGAGGATCATCCAGATGGAATAGCTAAGTATAAAGACTGTAGGGGGCTTCCCTGGTGGTGCAGTGGTTAAGAATCTGCCTGCCAATGCAGGGAACATGGGTTCGAGCCCTGGTCTGGGAAGATCCCATATGCCGCGGAGCAACTAAGCCCGTGAGCCACAACTATTGAGCCTGCGCGTCTGGAGCCTGTGCTCCGCAATGGGAGAGGCCGCGACAGTGAGAGGCCCATGCACTGCAATGAAGAGTGGCACCCCGCTCGCCGCAACTGGAGAAAGCCCTTGCACAGAAACGAAGACCCAACACAAACAAAAATAAATACATAAAATAAAATAAAAATAAAGACTGTGGGCAAGACCAGCGGATGGATGAGGGCTGGAAGGAAGGTGTCAGAGGAAGGGGGGCCTGAGAGGGAGGGAGAACTCACAGTGCAGAACATGGCGGTAGTTCTCACACTGTCATGCGTGCATCAGAACCACTTGGAGGGTGATGGTGGTGCTGGCACTGTTAAAAACACAGATGCCTTCACAACTATGTATGCATCTCCAAAAAGTGTACTGTTTAGTTTTCCCAATGTTGAACTTTATATGAATGGAATAATATATGCATTTCCTGTGACTACTTTTGCACAATGGTATGTTATTTTTCCCAACAAAAATTCGTATCAGGGGTTCCCTGGTGGCGCAGTGGTTCCGAGTCCGCCTGCTGATGCAGGGGACATGGGTTCGTGCCCCAGTCTGGGAAGTTCCCACATGCCGTGGAGCGGCTGGGCCCATGAGCCACGGCCGCTGAGCCTGCATGTCCGGAGCCTGTGCTCCGCAACGGGAGAGGCCACAACAGTGAGAAGCCCACGTACCGCAAAAAAAAAAAAATCATATCAAAAAGGGCTTATGATATTATTCAGCTATTCCATAAAGCCTTCATTTAAAAAAAAGAATACAGATGCCTAAACTTCCCTGGCTGGGTGTCTGATTCAGAAGATTGAGAGTAGAGTCAAATATACACAATTTTTAAATAAGCTCCTCCAGTGAATTCTGATGCATGGCAAAGCGTGAGAAAAGGAGTGGCTCTCACCGTTATTCTAAGGCCGGGCTAGTACAATAGGCCACCAATACATCTCTCTGGACCTAATCTTTCCTCCTATACGTCAAGCCAGATCAATATTCTTAAATTCCATTTTGTATACAGCTCTGCCTTGACCAACCTCAGAACTTTTTCAGTAGTCCTGTACTGAAGGATACAGGACAGAACTCAACCTCCTCAGCCTGGCATTTGTGGTCTTCTACCTGGTTGTATCTACCTTTCTCTAAAAAAAGGAACTACCTTAAACCAACAACCTAATAATAAAGTCATACTAGTCTATTTCCTACTTCCTAAACATGCCTTGATAATTTACACTTCAGCAGCTTTCTTTATGCCCTTCTCCCTACTCCTAATGGCCTCTCCTTAACATTTGTCTAAGTCCCTTCAAGGCCCTTCTTAAATTCTTTCTTGAGGACTCAAGTACCATGGCAACTAACAGATGTACAGTGCTATACAGTTTACAGACCACCATGACCTACATTTTGCCTACTTGTGCTACAAGTAGATGTTACTATTATAGTCCCATTTTATAGATAAAGTGAGACATTTACTACATTCTCCAAGAACATGCAGCTGGTAAGTACTAAAAGCACAGGTTTTTGGATTCCAAATCCTGTCCTCTTTCTACTCTTAACATGCTCTCTCCCACAGGCTGCCATATTTAGCAAACGAAAATATAGGACTCCCAGTTAAATTTGAATTTCACACGAACAATAACTTTTTAGTATAAGTATGTCCCACACAATATTTGTGACACACTTATAGCCACTTTTTGATATTAAAAACTATTGTTTATGTGAAATTCAAATTTAACTGGGCATCCAACATGTTATCTGGCAACGCTATCCTCCCGGCAAAAAGAAAACTCCTAGGTGTCTGTTCCATGCAATTGGAGATTTGTGTGTGTTTGTGTACTATTCTGTTTTCATTCTATATTCACACTTCGAAGAAACTCTTGAAACCTTGCAAAAGTTTGGTCCTCAGCTTCTAATCTGACTCCCAATAGCTACTCAGCCAAGTCTGAGACTGATGAAGAGAGCTAGCTCACTGGATAAGAGCCTCTGCGTCAGATAATCCTGGGTTTAAACCTTGGCTTCACCACTTAATTAGCTGTGTGACTTTGTATAAGTAATTTAAAATTGCCGAGACTTGGTATCCTCATCTGCAAAAGGGAGGGATGTTTACCTTGAAGTACTGAGAGGTTTAAGGCAGATAAAGTAAATTAAATGTCTGACACTTAGAAAGCAATCTATAAAGAGTACCTCTGAAGATGATACAGGGAAAGGCAATGGAGTTAGAGACGAGTGAATGGGGCGGGGAAGGGATTTATCATCTCTCTTTCTAACATCCATCATTCTGAGAAGAGAGAAGGGCAGAAGACTATCACGATGAGTCCGAGAAGCAGGACTCTGGCTAAAGACAGGCCTGAGCTGGGCTAGAGAAGACGAAGCTGGAATAGAGAAAGGCAGCAGGGCCGATCAATGACTGTCCGCGGATTGAGTGTTAAGGGGAGTACCCCAGGCCTGTCCTCCGGGAACTACCTCCGGGGCCCCGGGATGACTCAGGGAGTCGATGGGGCTCCTTCTCTCCCGGCCCAAGGCCTCATCTCGCCCATCAGGCGCGCTCACCCACCGGAGGTCCGCCCGGCCTCCGAGCTACATGCGCCCCCGACCCAGTCCCGCTCCCCACGGGGTCCCGAGGTAGCTCCTCACCAAACCATAGTGCTTTCCAACACCATCTTGCCGCCTTCCTGCCTCCCCGACCGGTTCTCCTGGACCACCTAACAACAACTCCTCCAATTGGCCCAGCGCTCATCACCAATCATTGATCTCAGCTCCGCCAGCTGGTTCCGCCTCCATCCTCCGCTTTGCGTTCTGGGAGTTGTAGGCGCCGCCAAAATAAAAGGGACGTCTGGGGCGGGTGGGTGTTGGGGGAGAGGCGAGATAACGTGAAAAAAAGGGTCCCACCTCCACCTGCCCTGCCGTTCAGGTTTTCTGGTGGGGTTCCCTGCCGACAGGATCTAAGAGAAGCTGTGGAGGAACCTTTGAAAGTTCTGTGGCTATGTCTGTTCCAGCATCAGCATTTTTAAAAAGTGGTGGGATGACTAGTGACTTTCCAGCTCACTCTGTTCCCCATGGTACTTTGTTCATCAAACTACTAAGCCCTTATGCCCCTGAATTGCATTTGCTTGTGTATCTACCTTTCCCACTGCATTAAGGCAGGAAAGGTGGCAATCTCTGCTATCCCTGAGTCCACTACATAGCCTGACACATGGTAGGAATGCAGAAAAAGTTTGACGAATCAGTAATTTTAACTAATCTCCCAAAGAATGGGAGACAACCTAGTCAACCGTTTTGGTTTCTTAATCAAGAATTACATTTAAAAAATGCCTTGGCTGGGAATTTCCTGCAGTGGTTAGGACTCTGCGCTTCCACTGCAGCGGGCACAGGTTCCATCCCTGGTCAGGGAAGTAAGATCCCACATGCCACCGCGCGGCCAAAAATAAAATAAACAAATAAATGCCTTGGCTTACCTTCCCCTACACACACACACACACACACACACACACACACACACACACACACACACACACACAGAAAAACCAGAAA